CAACCCTAAAACACCCTTTTCCTGATTTAAATCCAAGCAGTGTTCCCTAGCATTACTGACAATAATAGCTTGTTGGTCTAGGTATAGGTTTCATATGAGCACAGTTAAATGTTCTGGATTCCCATTTTTCTCAGTGTTAACCATAGTTTGTTATGATCCACACAGACAAAAGCTTTTTCATCGTCATTAAAGCACAAATGGAATTTTTTCTGGTATTCTCCACTTCCAGCCAGGATCCACCTGGCATCAGCAATGATATCCTTAGTACCAGGACCTCTTCTACACTCAGGTTGAACTTCTAGCAGTTTCCTGTCAAAGTACCTTTCTAGGCAGTATTTAATGATTCTACATAGCTTGTTCTTAAGAAAGGTATCTCAAGAAAGATATTTTGCCAATTAAGCTAAAATATGATTTAACTAAGGAGCTCTGGTGGTTCAGGGGATTAAATACTTAACTGTTAACTGCAAAGTCAGCAGTTCAAACCCACCAGGCACTCTGTGGCAGAAATATATGGCATTTTGCTCCCAAAAAGACTTACAACTTAGAAACCCTGTGAGTAATTCTACTTTGTTTTATAGGGTCACTATGACTTGACGACAATGGGGTTTTATTTTTATTCTTCCAGATAAACTTTAAAATTGTTTTCTAAATTTGAAGTAGAATTGCAGTAGAATTCTCACTGGGCTGCTACCAAAGTGCTTTTAGAGGCGAGGATGGTGAATCTTTGTCTCGTTTAGTTTGGGAATATTTTTAGGCAGAATCAGTCCTTGGAGAGAGATGTTGTTGTTGTTATGTGCCATCCAGTCACCTGCCACTCATAGCTACCCCATGTACAACAGCACTGAAGCCTTCCCTGCCTTAAGCCCGTCTCACTAATTCCGATACACCAACCCCCATTGCCCCAGTTACTGTGTCAATCCATCTTCTCCGGGGTTTTCCTCTCCTGTGCTATCCCTCCACCCTTTTGAGCAAGATGACCTTTTCCTGAAGATGTCTCTCCTGGCCACATGCACAAAGTATGCAAGACAGAGTTTCAAAATCCTGGCCTCCAAGAAGAAACTTGGTTTCACTTTCTCCAAGACAGACCTATTTATTTTTTTGGCAGTCGATGGTAACCTCCAGTTAAATACTCTTCTCCAGTACCACAACTCAAAGGCATCAATTCTTCTTCTGTCATCCTTAGTCATTGTCCAGCTCTCTGATGTATAGTAAGTAATTGTGAAGACCATGGCCTGGATTAGGTGCATCTTAGTCTCTAGATTGACATCGTTGCTTTTCAGTACTCTAGAGAGATCCCTGACAGCACATTTTCCAATGCAATTTGTCTTTTGATTTCCTGATTGCTGGTACCAAGAGTGTTGATTGTGGAGCTAGGCAAGCTGTAATTGTTAATAACCTCAATATCTTTATCTATCATGGTGCTGCCAATTGGCCCAGTGGTGAAAATCTTTGTCTTCTTGATGTTGAACTTCAATGCATGTTGAAGACTACACTCTCCTTGACCTTCTGAATCATCATGCTGGAAAAGATAGTGTCTCAGAGAAAAGGCGGAAGCCCCCTCCTCCCCAAAACAGGTTGACTTGGTGACTGCTGCAATCAGCTCAGATATGTCAGGAATGCTGAGAATGGCACAGGAAGAACAGGGTAACCTGTTGTTTATACCATTGTTATGAGTCACACTCAACTCAATGACACCTAACAACAACAAAAATAGCACAGTCTAGTTTTAAGAAGATGTCAAGCGGCATTTTTTAAAAAGTCATTAATGATTTCATTTCACTCAGATAAACCAACATCCTTGGATGCAGCAGTTAAGAAATAGTGCGTTGGGCAAATCAAATTCTCAAAAACAGAATAGACTTGTTCAGAGTGCTAAAGAGCAAAGATATGACTTTTTTTAGAAAAATATTTTTTATTTTACTTGGTTTACATAAAGAATTCATATACATTGTGTTTTGTCTATTTACTTTATGTTTTGCACATTCCTTTTTATTTATAGTTTTAAAATTATCTAAGGATGATAGTTTTAAGAAATTATGCACCCTCTATGGATCAGAAAATCTAGTGTCAATGAAATTTGAAGTTCTGTTCTTAATTTTTCCCCTTTTGATCAGTATTCTATAGAATCTTAGATCATAATGCTCAATAGTGGATGCTAGGCACTGTATAGTTATTGTTGTCTCATGGCAAATGAAGCAATAGTTCATGAAAACAAGTAGCCCCGCTTTCATAACTTCTTTCTATTTCTAGACGTAGACTAAATGCGTGTCTTCAGTGACCACTTATAAGTTTTAATGCCCCAAGAAGTATTTAATGAACTAGGAGTTAGAACAGAAGCATTAACCCATTATTAGGCTAGTTCATTGGGATGTTCTATGACATTAAACCTCCAAATTTAGGAAACAAATCCAGTGAAGTATGTGGTTGCATGTAAGCAGCCTCAGCCGTATGTATGGCTAGACTAAGAGGCTGTCTTGCAAACAAAGCAAAGGAACACTACTACATGGTTTAAAATCAAGGAAAGTCTGTTTCAAGATTGTACCTCTCTCTCTACCTATTCAATTTGCATTATGAGGAAATTATTCGAGAAGCTGGACTTCATGAAGAAAAATATGGCATCAGGATTGGAGGAAGATTTCAATAAACTACATTATGCTGATGATACAACCTTGATTGCTGAAAGTGAGGAACTATAGAAGATCAAAGGTTAGGGGAGCTCTGGTGGCCTAGTGGCAAGGAGCTGCAACTACAATCCCAGAGATGCACGGTTCAAATCCACCAGATGCTCTGCCGGGGAAGGAGGGACAATCTCCTCCTGTACCAGTCAGATCTGATTTGACGGTACACTCACACAAAAATAATAAAATAAAAGTAAAAAAAAAAAAAGAAGATCAAAGGCTGCATATGCTTCTTAACATGTAGGAAACAAAAATTCCTACCACAGAACCAAGAAGCAATATCATGATTGATAGAGAAAAGATTGAGACTGTCAACAACTTCATCTTCCTTGGATCTACAATCAACACCTTTGTACCAATAGCCAAGAGATTAGGAGATGAACTGGGCAAGTTTGCAATCAGGGACCTCTCCAAAATTACTGAGGGGTAATGATTTCAACTTGAGGACTATTGTACACCTGATTCAGGCCACAGTCTTTTCAATCACTTACTTTGCTGCTGAAATCTGGATGATGGTGAAGGATGACAGAAGGAGAATTGATATCTTTGAGTTCTGGTGTTAGAAAAGAGTACCAAATGTCCCCTGGCTACCAAAGAACAAACAGATATGTCTTGGCAAAGGTGTAGCTAGAATTCTCCTTGGAGGCATAAATAGCAAAGCTTCATCTCATGTACATTTGGGCATGTTGCTAGTAGAGACTTATCTTTGGAGAAGGCCAGCCATCATGCTTGGAAAGGTGGAGGGTCAGAGAAAGAGAGGACTACTCTCAACCAGATAGACTGACATAGCATCTGCAGCAATGGGCTCAAGTATGTCAAAGATGTTAAGGATGGCACAACATAGGTCAGGATTCAGATCTTTTGTTCATAGTGTCACTATGAGTTGTACTCTACTCGGTGGCACCTAACAACAGCAAACACCCTCAGAAGCTACTCTCTATCTTTCTCTGGCAATGTAAATATTTCCATCACACAACTTTTGCTAATATATATGTGTGTTTTGTAAGGTAATAACTTGAGGGGGTTTTTGTTTTGTTATTTGATACCTGTCTAGCTCCCCAAAAACTTCTGCGTCGGTGGCTGTGACTGTTGTGATCTTATCTTCTGTCCTTGATCCACCTTTGAGCCTTCTCCAAGGTGTTACTCTTGTCCCCTTGTCAATTCTTCCAACTGTAGTGAGTGGATATTCCCAAAGGACCAGATTCCAACTCGGTCTCATCTGTGGTCTAATGTCAAAGATCCTTTGTATCTTGTATCCAGTCAAGTTATGTTGGTTTTGACACTAGAAACAGTACTGTGTTACAATTTGAGGTTTAGAATCACTCTAATGACAAACTTTGCCAATCTTATTCCAAGAGTGGAGAGTCAATGAACCAGAACGAGCCAATTATGGCCAAAGGGGGGCAATGAAGATACTTTTTATCCATTTTTGCATGTATCTGGAAATGGAGTTTTTGAATAAGAATGGTATCACATCAGACAATTAAGAGATAGAAAAGTGTGCCCATTCAGGATAGAAAAGTGTGCCCATTCAGGAAATCAAAGCAAAAAGATTATGCGGCAGGCCCTGGAATAAAAAGTCAAAGGACTGGAAAACTCATTGCCCTCGCGTCAGAATCGATTCATAGCTGATTCTGGCAGGTTTTCAAAGGCTATCTAGATCACAACAGATTATGGCTGATGTTGTGAAGAATAGAAATGCCAGAATATTTAATTGTTCTCGTGCCAAACCTATACCTAGACCAAGAAGCTGTTGTCCCAACAGAGCCAGGGAACACTGCATGATTTAAAATTAAAAAGAGTATGTCTCAGGGCTGTATTCTTTCTCCATCCCTATAACCTTGCTTGTGGAAACGAAGAGGCCTAAAGGTTATGTCAATCACACTAGGCAGATTGTTGATGAGTCCTCCACTGATCCTGATGCCACATTCTTTATTATGTCCAGTCTCCTGAATGATTGTTCAGCATATTGATTAAAGAGGTATGGAGAAAGAATACAGTCTACTAAAGCCCTTCAATATGGATTACAGCTCAATATCAAGAATGCAAAAATCCTCACCAGTTGACTGATATGCAAGATCATGATAGATGGAGGAAAGATTGAACTTGTCATCTATTTCATTACTTGGATCCAAAATCAACACATTGGGCATCAAAAATCAAGAAATCAAAAGATAAATCACACTGGGAAAATCTACTGTCAAAATCTACCTCTCCAAGCTTCTAAGAGGTAACAATGGCAGTTTAGAGACTAAGGAGCACCTGATTCAAGCCACAGTCTTTTTTTTTTTTTACCAGATAGACACCTTTATTTCACCCTGATTATGCCATGAATTCATAGGGAATAAGTTCCAGCAGCTCGGGCTCCTTTCCATTTGTTCTCACAAAGTGTGCCTCTCTGGGGGGAGCGGGCTGGCGTTTTAGCTGGACCCAAGTGCCTTTCTCCTTGGCTTCCTTCTTTTTCTGATCATTTTCCTTCACTCGTTTCAGGAAGCTGTCTCTGCTCTTAGAGTGCTTAATATGCTCAATGCGCACGTTAATTCTCTTGGCAAGAATTTTACCCTTAACTTGTTTGTTCACAACGATGCCAACAGCATGCTGGGTAACATTGTAGACTCTTCCGGTTTTGCCATGGTAACATTTGTGAGGCATTCCTTTTTGAACAGTGCCCATTCCCTTGATGTCTACAATATCTCCTTTCTTATAGATTCGCATGTAAGTAAGCCACAGTCTTTTATATTACTGGCTATGCATCTGAAAGTTGAACAATGAATAAGGATGATAGAAGAAGAATTGATGTCTTTGAGTTACAATGTTAGAGCAAAGTACAGAACATCCCATGGACTGCCAAAACCCAAACACATCTGTCTTGTAGAAAGTGCAACCAGTGTACCCATTAGAGGCAAGGACAGTGAAACTTCACCTCACATAATTTGGGCATGTTGTTAGAAAGGGCCAGTCCTTGGGAAAAAGCATCATATTTGGAAAGGAGGAAGGTCAATGAAAGGACAGAAAGACCCTCAATCAGATGGATTGACACAATGACTATAAAAATGGACTCAAATATATCAGAGATGATGAGGATGGCACAGGACAGGGCAGGACAGATCTGCTGTTCACAGAATGACCATGGATCTTTGTAGACTCGACAGCACCTAACAACAACAACAAATCACACAGAAGGAGATAGCCCATCTTTGTCCTGCAGAGCAGCTGGTGGATTAAAAATTCCCACTTTGGCATTAGCAGAGCAACTCCCTCTCCGTTAGGCCAAAAGTACTCCCTGTTGGAGAACTAGAGAATATTATAATACATATCCAAAATAACTGTAGCCAAGACCTGAACGTCCATAAGGCATAGGCCATCTGATTTTATGTAAACATTCTAGAATTGAGCAGAATAATGACAAATAATTAGCTAAAGAAATAAGAGTGCGGGCTAGGAGGTTACTGTCTCCATCCAGGAACTACTAAAGAATAGAGAGATCCCATGGAAACAAGAAGGATGACAGAAGACTTGATGTCTTTAGCTATAGTGTTGGAGAAGAGTACTGAACATCACCTGGACTGCCAAAGGAACAAATATGTCTTGGAGAAAGTGTAGGCAGAGGAGTACTCTTTGGAGGCAAAGATGATAAAGCTTTACCTCACATACTTTGGGCATGTTGTTAGGAGGGCCTATTCCTTGGAGAGGGACACAATGCTTGGAAAGGCAGAGGGTTGATGAAGGAAAGGAAGACCCTCAAACAGATGAATTGACACGGTAACTGGAGCAATGGGCTCATTTGTGTCAGAAAGTGTGAAGATGGCACAGGAGAGGACAGGCTTCAGATCTGTTGCTCATAGGGTCATACTCAACTTGATGGCACATAACAACAACAACATGGAAATAAGAGAAGCTAGAATCAGATTTTAAAGTCATTTTAGAAATATATTTGGAGAGAACAAATGGCTATATAGCCGAAAGTTATAAATTATAGTGGCTTCCTTGAAAAAGGGGGAAAGATACAAATAGGATAAACTCAAATGATATATTCTAGTCCTTAAAAATGAATAAAACAAAACTCAAACTAGTTGCCATTGTGTTGACTCTATCTCATGGTGAGTCTGGTGAACCTGGTAATAAGAGTCTGCTGTACGACTCTGAAGGCACACAGTTCGGATCCACCGAACTCTGTAGGAGATGGATGGGTAATCTCCTTGCATGTGATACTCTGTCTCTCAAAACCTGCTGGAGGGTCAGTGATGGGTCAGTTCCCACAACAACATGGTGAGTCTAAGCACTATAGAGTGGAACTTCTCTCCATCATGTTTTAAGATTGTGATCTTCAGATCACCCATCTCCTTAAGAGGCCTCTTTTTTTTGTCAATCTTCTGCTTTATCAAACATGATATCTTTCTCCAGGAATTGGCACTTCTTGATAACATGTTCAAGCTTGATTCAAAGGAACATTTTGTTTATACATTTTTCAGGATAAATTTGTTTGTTCTTCTGGAAGTCCATGGTATAGTCTAATCCACACCATAATTTAAATTTACTGATTCTTTTTCAATCATTCTTATTGTCCAGCTTTCACACACAGATGACTTACTTGAAAATACCATGCCTTGGGGCAGGCATACGTTAGTCCTTAAAATGACATCTTTGATGCACACCATGTTTATTGCTGTGTTGGTCACAATAGCAAAGGGATGTAAGCAACTCAAGTGGCAATCAACAAATGAATGGATAGAGAAGATGTGGAATATTCACACAATAATACTACGCAGCACTGAAAACAAGGAACTCATAAAATATTATATAAAATGGGTGATGCTGGAGGACATTATACTGAGTGAAATATCTCAATCACAAAAAGACAAATACTGCATAATGCCACTGTTATAAAAGAGGACTGACATGGGGGAAATTAAGAAAAGAAGGATAAATAATGAACACTGCATTTAAGTAGATGAGGGAGATAACTGTCTAAAAGAAATAGATGATTCAGGTTTATTTGCATGACAACAGTCCAGAGTAAGAGTTGCATAGCAAAGTGGACTAGGACGGTGGGAAGGAGGGAGAAAATTATGCAACAGTATAAGAATCTTTTTAGAGAGAAAAGCGAACTGGGGGTAGGTAGGGAGGAAACAATGAATGAATGAAAATTCAAGCTTTCTGTACATGTCCATCAAAATGTCAATTAAAAAATAATTTTAAAAAATAACATGAAAAAAATGACGTCTTTGCTTTTGAATACTCAAAAGGAGGTAATTTTCAGACCTTTTTAAAAAAAAATTTAATGTAAGTTTACAGAGACTTTGGATTTCCATTCATACATTATTGTACATTTTCCTCCCTCCCCTCCCCTCCTCTCAATTTGTTCTTCTCCTTGAAGAGAAAAAAAAATTCTTTCATTGTAATACAATGCTCCCCCTCCCAAGTCCACTTTACTGTGAAGTTCTTATTCTGGGCTCTCGTCATGAAAACACTATCTAATCATATATTGCTTTTAAACAGTTCTCTCCCTCTTCTGTTTCAACGCAGTATACATTATCTATCCCCTCTTTTCTTAAGTTCCCCCCAACCCTGATGTCAGTCCCATTTTACAACAGTGGCACTATGTAATATTTGTCCTTTTGTGACTGAGATATTTCACACAGCATAATGTCCTCCAGAGTCATCCATTTTGTACAATATTGCATGAGTTCCTTGTTTTTTAAGGCAGCATAGTATTCCATTGTGTGAATATACCACAGCTTCTCTATCCATTCATTTGTTGATGGGCACTTGGATTGTTGCCATTTCTTTGCTATTGTGAACAAAGAAGCAATAAACATGGATGTGTACATATCTGCTTGAGTCATAGTTATGGTTTCTTTATGGTATATTCCCAGTAGTGGAATTGCTGGGTCAGCTGGTATCTCTATTTCCAACTCTTTGAGCAAGTGCCATACAGCCTTCCATAGTGATTGCACCATTTTACACTCCCACCAACAGTGAATAAAGATTCCAATTTCTCTACAACCTTGCCAGCATTTGTTGTTTGCTGCTCTGTTAAATTTTGTGATTCTTACTACGGTGAGATGATATTTCACAGTTGTTTTGATTTGCATCTCTTAGAGGTAGGGATTTTGAACATTTCTTCATGTGTTCACCATCTGAATGTCTTCTTTGGTGAAGTGTCTTGTTCATACCCTGTGCCCGTTTTGCAATTGGATTGTTTACCTTTATCTTGTTGTGGTGCTCTAGTATCCTATAAATTCTAGGTAAGTCCCTTATCTGACATGTCATTACCAAATGTTTTGTCCCAGTCTATGGCTTTCCTTTTGACCTTGTTGGAGAAGTTTTTCTATGTTTAGACCTCTTTTTGCAGGAGGTTTGCCCAAACACAATATACTCTTTGCTTTTTTGACTGCTATCTCTATGGACATTGAGTAGCACAAGAAAAAAGAAATTCTTGACAATTTTAATCTATTAACTATTTATCATGGTGTCACTTGTTGGTTCAGCTGTAAGAATTTTTGGGGTGTGGTTGGTTTTTTTGTTTTTGTTTTTGTTTTTTTTATGTTGACGTGTAACCCACAGTACAGTCTTTGGTCTTTATCAACAGAGGCCTCAAGATCACTTAGCTTTCAGCAAGTAAGGCTCTGTCATTTGTATATTGCATTTTGATATTGTCTGATCTTGATTTTGTATCATGCTTCAATTGGTCTACCTTTCAGAGTTTTTATCAGCATACATATTGACTAAGTATGACAAGAAGACATAACCCTGGTAAAGAAAAAAAAAGAAATAGGAAAAAAAAAGACATAACCCTGGTGCATATCTTTTCTAGAGTTAAGCCATGCAGTGTTCCCTCGCTGTGTTCAAATCACTGCCCCTTGGTCTATGTGTAGGTCCTGCACAAGCACAAAGAGTCTGGTCCCCCTTCTCCATAATGCTATCATAATTTATTATGACTCACATAGCCAAATGTTTTTGCATACCCAGCAAAATACAGGTAAACCTTTTTCTCATATTCTTTGTTCCAGTCAAAATCCACCTGAAAACAGCAGTGACATCCCTCATTCCACCTAAACTTCCAAATACAGCTTGAATATCAGACATGTTCTTGTTGACTATTTTAAAATTTAATTTGCTCGTGTGATAATAATGATTTAAGAAAACCCTCACATTCATCACCATTGATTCAGAAACAACTCATTGCTGATTCTCCACTGGATTTCTGAGGATAAATCAACATGGGAGAAGATTGTCACTTTTTCTCCCCAGGAGTAGCTGGCGGATTCTAATCTCCAGAAGGAAGTGGTTTTTGTGTTTCATTGAAAATCCCTATGGATTATACCATGAGAATGCCCTGATAGTGACAATATCAATTGATATTGTTTGATAATTTTCACATTCTCCTGGGCCACCTTTCTTTGGAATGAGTACAAATACAAATCTCTTCCAGTCAGTTGGCCAGGTAGCTGTCTTCCAGTTAAATAAGAAAAATGCGGGGAGCTCTGGTGGCCTAGTGGCAAGAAGCTGCACTGCAATCCCAGAGGCGCACAGTTCGAATCCACCAGATGCTCTGCCGGGGAAGGAGGGACAATCTCCTCCTGTACCAGTCAGATCTGATTTGACGGTACACGCACACACACAAATAATAAAATAAAAAAATTTTTTTTAATGAGCACTTCTAGCATTGCATCCATTTGTTGTTACATGTCAGTTATTACTAAATCAAGTACTAGAGTCTGGCTTTTTAGCAATGCCTCCAGCACTGTGTGAACTTCTTTCAATACCATTGGCTCTTGATCATAAAGATCAATAGGCATCAAAATTATGCGAATCCAACAACATCATGAGCCCTTTGGAAAACTTTTTAAAGTTATTTCTAATTATTGTCCTTCCTAATAACACTATAAGAGCGATACCTTTTAAAATTACCTCATGTTGTTGTTGTTTGTTGTTATGTGCCGTTGAGTCACCTGAGACTCATAGCAACCCTATGTACAACAGCCCTAAACCCTGCTCTATCCTGTGCCAATCTCACTGTCTCTGACACACCTACCCCATTACTCCAGTCACGAATCAATCCACCTCATAGAGGATCTTTCTCTCCTGTGCTGTTCCTCCACCCTCTCAAGCATGATGTCATTCTCCAAGGATTGGTCCCTCCTTGCAACATGTCCAAAGTACATCAGACCAGAATCCTTGCTTCCAAGGAATAGCCTGGTTTAAGCCTAAGATGAACCTGTTCATTTTCTTAGCAGTCCATGGTATATTTAATACTGTTCTCCATCACCACAGCTCAAAGGCATCAATTCTCCTTCTGTGCTCGCTAGTCATTGTCCAGCTCTCTGATGCATAGCAAGTGATTGCAAAGACCATGATATGTATCTTGCACACCTTAGTGTCCAGAGTGACACCATTGTTCTTTAGTACTTTGGAGAGGTCCCTAACAGCAGACTTTCCCATCACAATATGTCTTTTAATTTCCTGGCTGCTGGTGCCAAAAATGTTGACTGTTGACTGTGGAGTCAAGCAAACTAAAGCTGTTAACAATTTCAATCTCTTCACGATCCATCCTAATACTGCCAATTGACCCAGAGGTGAGAATCTTTGTTTTCTTGATATTGAGCCTCAATGCATATTGAAGGCTGCAGTCCTTGACCTTCTGCAGCAAGCACTTCAGGTCCTCCTCAGTTTCAGCAAGCAGGGTTGTGTCAGTTGCATAACGCAGATTGTTGATAAATCTTACTCCAGTCCTAATGCCAAACTTCTCCTCATAGACCCATCCTCCCGGATAATCTGTTCAGCATATAGGTTGAAAGGTATGGAGATAGGACACATCCCTGGCATACACCCTTCTCAATTTTGAACCATGCAGTGTTTCCTTGCTCTGTTCTAACGACTGCCTCCTGGTCCAAGTATAGGTTTTGCATTAGCAAGATCAAGTGTTCTGGTATTCCCATTCTTCTCAGAGTCATCCACAGTTGGATATGATCCACACAAACACTTTTGCATAGTCAATGAAACACAGATATTCCCTGCTTTCAGCCAAGATCCATTTAACATTAGCTACACTATCCCTAGTACCACGACCACTTCTAGATCCAGCCTATACTTCTGACAGTTCTCTGTTGATGTGCTGCTTCAGTTGTTTTTGGATAATCTTCAGCAGAATCTTGCTTGCATGGGATATTAATGATATTATTTCTACACTCTCTTGGATCATTCTTTGGAATGGGAACAAACATAGATCTCTTCCAGTCAGTTGGCCAAGTGGTTGTCCTCCAGATTTCTTGACACAACTTGGTAGTAGTAAAAATAATTTAGGGCTCTTACTCTTTCTCTTGATATTACACTACTCTCCTGTTTGTTATGCTGCTGAGAGCTGGGTGGTGAATAAAGATGACAGAAGAAGAATTGGTATCTTTGAACTGTGTTGTTAGAGAAGGGTAATTAATACCCCAATAGACTGCTATGAGTCATACTCAACTCAATGGCACCTAACAACAGCAACAACAACTCTTACAGTCCTAACCCAACTCAGTCATGTTCATATCACACACACACACACACTTCTACAATTTAAGTTCCATTTTTTGAGATTAGAATAATGTGTCTATTATCAATGTTTCAATAAATATAATGTGTCTATTATCAGTGGCATCAAATATAGTTAGCTAGAGAAATTGCTTTTGGAGTTTATGATGTAAACTTCTGTTTCAGGAACTTTAGAATCACATCAGCCCTTTCCTTCCTCTCCCCCAACTCCCATTTTCTTCTGCTTCTAATTTTTCCTTCTATCTTTTCTCATCCTTCTAACTTTCTTCCCCAGTAACGTTTATGGAGTACCAATAATTGGATGGTTCATGCTGGACTCTGAGAATACAAAAATAGAGGGTTCCCTAACCTCTAGGATCAAAATTCAAATTCAGACACATTGCTGTTGAATCAGAAGAGACTCCGAGCTGACCCTCTGTTTGGTTTCTGAGGCTGTAAGTCACGCAGATTTCCCATCTTTCTCCCACAGGGTCACATGTGGATTCTAACCAGCACAGTGCTGCACTCCAATTATCTGCAGGATGGGTAAAGCCACCAGAATTCTCAAATGTCTACGATAGGTGTTGTTTTGCACTGTCAGGTGGGAACCAATACACAGCTAACCCTCCACTGGGTTTTCAGAGGCTGTAAAACACAGGGGAGGAGACTGTCCATCTTTCTTTCTCCATCAGAGCAGGTGGCTGATCCAAACCCACCTTTGGGTTGACAGTGCAGGGAGTCAAATTTTCAAGAGGCATTTCAGAGGAAAAACAAGGTGCATGAAGAGTATTTGAGTCCTGAAGGGGCAGCACTCAAATACCAGGAAAAAAAGAAGGATAAAAGCTTACTCAATTCTGGAACTGTCTGAGAGAGAGAAGGGGTGACAAGCAGTTGCCTCCTCACAGCAACACAGGGCCAGGGCCAATGAGGAGGGATAAGACTACAGCAGAGAACTGTGGGACACAGACAGCCATCGCCACCCCACCCCCTTGGCATGGACCTGGTATATGAGATCTGTGCACTTGAAAGTGTCAAGTGACTACGTTTGGCAGGTCCCAAGAGCTGTGACCTTTCAGAGGCCATATCATCTGAAATTGGCTGAAAGAGCCGCCCTACTTAAGAAAATCTGCTCTCTCTTGGCAGTAGGAAATACCGGCTCTTAGTAAAGCTGACCGGTACAGGATAGAATCTTTCCTGTGAAGATGAGTTCATGACCTGCTGAGTAGTAGGTGGCACAGCGAGGTGGAAAGAACAGTCAGAAGAAATGGATTGTAATTTTCTCCCTACTATTGCTAGTTGGGCAATCTTGAGCAAGTAATTTCCATGAAATCAAGCTTCTCCATCTGTAAAAATACCAGGTAAAAATGAAAAGGACTCTACTGAGCTAGGCACTTCATGTACTTTAATTTTCACATAACCCTAAAGTAATTATTATTACTATTCTGAAAATAAGGAGCTCTGATGGCCTAGTGGCAAAAAGCTGCACTGCAATCCCAAAGGCACATGGTCTGAGGCCACCAGCTGCTCTGCAGAAGGATGGGCAATCTCCTCTTGTGCGATTAACTGCCTATGATAACCCGCTGGAGGGTCGCCTGTGAGTTGGTTCCAACTCAATGGTACACCAGACAACAACATTCTGAAAATATGGACTGCTATCCCCAAATATGAAATAATTATCATTGTTGTTTTTATATGCCATCAAGTCACCTGGGACTCATAGCGACAACAGCTCTGAAGCCTGCCCTGTCCTGAGCCAGTCTCACTGACTCTGACTATGAACATTGCCCTAGTTATTATATTAATCCATCTTATTTGGGGTCTTCCTCTCCTGCACTGTCCTTTCACCCTTCTGAGCATGATGTCCTTCTCCAGGGATTGGTCCCTCCTAGCCACAGGCCCAAAATGTGTAAAAAAGAGCTTCAAAATCCTAGCCTCCAAGGAGAGACTTGGTTTCACCCTCTCCAAAGCAGACCCATTTGTTTTCTTGGCAGTCCATGGTATGTTCAAGACTCATCTCCAGCACCACAACTTGAAGGCATCTATTCCTCTTCTAACATTCTTAGTCATTGTCCAATTCTCTGAAGCATAACAAGTAATTGCAAAGACCATGGACTGGATAAGGCACACCTTAGTCTCTAGAGGGACATCATTTCTTCTCAGTACTTTGGAGAGGTCCCTGACAACAGATTTACCTAATGGAATTAGTC